GCAATCGATGTGTTTTGTACCCTCCAGCTCTCCCATAGTCTCTACTCCCCTGCCGCTGCAAACGCTAGCAAAACGCTGGTGAAACGCTGGAGAAACGCTGGCGTACGCTAGCGTGCCGCTAGCGTACGCCAGCGTGCCGCTGGTGACGCTGGTGAAGCTAGATCGATATGCATCCTCTCTTCGGCACTGCCGCTGGCGTACGCTGGAAGCGCTACGCTACGCTGCGCTACGCTACGCTGCCGCAAAGTATAAACGCAGCCTTAGCAGTCGTTTCTGGAGTTGGTTTGACCTTTTGAACACGAGTACCACCTCCGCTCGGCTCAAAACCTTCTGGTGGCAAGGCTCAAAACCTCCTTGCCATCAGGTTTTGAGCCACCTCACTATGTCAAATCACCTCAAAATGCCAGCTTACACGGGTTTTCGAGGGAAAAACTCTAGCACTAAATTAGCGCACACTGGCGCCAAGTGGCACCGAAGGACAGAGGAATGTCATTTTTGTGACCTGAGGAATAACCCCTGCACTCGATGGTTCAGTAAAAAAGGAGATTTCGGGAGCAGAAAGTTGAACAGTGCTAAAATTTTTAGTAAGGGTCACGAGGGACCGTGTCCACCACTGGTGGCGGACACTTGCTGAGAGCTCGCAAATGCTCCGGTCCGAACGAGCCGTTTTCGAAAAACGCGCCTGGTCGCGAATGGGTTAAAGGATGTTCATTAGCCTGTAAGAAAAATTTTCCTTTTTCAATGAACATCGGCTTTGCTGGATGTTGTGACGATCTTTAAGGTCGGCTACGAGATTGCTTGCTGAGTGTTGACAGTTTATAGCTAATCACTAACTTTAGCTTTTAGCGGCCAGTGTTACGACTTTTCTGCTGATATCAAAAGCATAAAAGTTGGTTAATGCTTTGGAATAGCAAACTACTCTACTAGATGCTCAATTACCTCCATCCTTTCTGACGGCTCACTATCCCTGCTTGTTATGTAGCGTTCAGACTTCGCGATGACGCGCGTCGCTAACACTGCAATGACGCTATAGTGCTGTAGACAGGAACGTAGCCGCAGACAGGTATAGATCGGGGACCGACCGCTTGGGATTTCAGGGATTACAGTATAAGAGGAAGATAGCCCCCGCATTCACATAGTCTGGTGCCTCCCACTCTTCTACGCTTTCCCAAGCACCAGCGGCCAGCGACGATTGATACTATTATAGACTGCATGATCAAGCAATGTGTATGCTTCTACACTCCCATAACTTCTCAGAGCAGTCGCCGACATCTATAGATACCTAGCCATAAAATATCCGATTACGGGGTTTTGTCAAACTCTCGGGCAAAGAGAACACAATTTCGGCCGAATTCTCGAAGGAACTGCGATAGGCTGCCTACGGCCAGCATGAAAAGAAGATATCAAGTGCCAGTGCAATACTAAAGGATACTGGAGCGAAACCTTTGTTTTGTATCCGGAGTCCTCACTCTGCTTTTAATGTTAGAGGCGGTAGTCGAAAAATCATTACGAACAAGGAGCAAAGCGAAACAGCATTGCTATCTTAGCGGGGGGGGGGTAAGTCATGCGCAAGCAGAGAGGAAGTCACATTATCTCTGTAACCTCAGACTATATAAATTTGTTACAGACGCGACGAAGTTTGACGAATGCTAAACGAAATAAAGAAATCAAAATTTTCCTACAAGCTACATTTTTATTCTGTTATATCAGTGCGCTTATCATTCTTTGGCACAATGCAGGTGCGTCTTTTTGCATTCAGTGAAACTGAAGATTGAACCAAATTGAATACGTGTATATATTTTATCGTATTTCTGTTCAGATGACTGGTTTTTCATGACTACTGCAACTGTTGCTATCTTAAATTCTTCTTGGATAATCTTCCTTTACGCGAATCCATGCCTGCTCATAACCTTAAACCCGTAAGTTGTTTACGAGGACATGTTAACGCCCATGTCATCCTTATTGGAGAAAAGCGGTAAAATAGCAGTTGTTACGCTGCAGCCTGTGACCGATTCATAAGGAGCTTGGGCGCACTGTGTACGTCTGGATTCCACGATATCTCAGACATATTCTCCCTTCAGGCTTGTCTACTCAGAGTCTCTGGCAGCAACTTAACATTTCAATTCTTCCACTCTGTGCCTATGACTTAACAAGAACACATTGCACCCAAGTTCCTTATTAATCGGTTCTAGGCGACGGAAGACTTATAACGTGTATTAAAAAGCATTTCGAAGCGGAGAGCAAGTGCTCAAATAACGACGTTCTTCGAAAAAATTCTATTATTCAGAACAGTTCGGAGAAAGGTGATGGCAGTTTTTGGTTGGGGAAAAAGCCATGACCGCCGGGTTGTGGCGTTT